ATGTTTGCCTGATAAACATGTATGAGTCTTTATACTAGATATCAGAGTACATGTGCAACCAATATACATTTCACTGGGATAACTTGCTGGCTCCTGAACCTCCTGCGCCGCCGGTTCAACGCGAGTGGTTTCAGAGGAATTCCTCCAAGGAGCCGCTGGGGGCTGATAACCTCAGCCAGCGGGCTGAATAAAGAGAGGTCAATATGCAAGTGTACATAGCAGAAACTCCCACCTTCCATTCAACATTTCACTTCAAGGTGAATCCTGTTGGATTCATTTTGCACAGATCTCTAAACAATCTCTTCAATATGAAATCTTCAAAATCCTGGATGAAGCACAATTATCCATGTGCTCAAACGTATATCGTAAATTCAAATGGATAAACATGCTACAGTTTATTATGTTTATTATATATACATTTTTACTATGACCTGTTGGCATGTTTTAGTGTAACATTCATACTTAAAAATGAAGAACAAATTATTGGATTTGATTGGATTAAATCATGAACACAAACGAGGAAGGTTTCCACATCGGCTGTGTTTTATGTACTACAAAATAAGAACCACTTGAACTACAACGATAGCTTAAAAAAATCTGCTGTATTAGGGATGGGATGAAATGGTTGCATTCAGGACGGGTTAAAGTGTGAGAGGCGTCACTTTTGACTCATTTTGTGATATTAAAGTCCATTTACACTATCAGTTTCAGGAAAGTCTGCTCACTTATTGTCATCAATCTGCCAGATTAAAAGCACAAAATATCTGTGATATTTGCAGGGCCTTGCAAAAGTATTTACACCCCTGTGAACTTCTTTACCTGCGACAGACTGGCGAACTGTCCAGGGTGAACCCCGCCTCTCGCCTGGAACGTTAGCTGGAGATAGACACCAGCAACCCTCCCGACCCCACGAAGGGGCAGGGGTGTAAAGAAAATGGATGGATGGATGGATGAACTTCTTTACACTTTAAGCCACAAATTGAAATTGTAGTGCGATTTTATTGTCGTAGCCCAACAGAAAGATTATGAATAATTACAAATGAGACATAAAAATAGCTCATGTATTTAATAGCTTTTTAAACATGTTTAATATTAAAATATTTGTTGACTTCATGAGTGCATGCTCTCAATGATTGTTTTCCATTGAAATGCCAAGAAGAAATGAGTTAAATAAGAATAGCCCCTAAAGTCTGAGCTCTGTCTCGTCTTGTCTTGGGTAAACGTGGATCGAACAGTTTCAGCTGATAAGCTCCAGTCGTTCCCAGGTTCGCCTCCACACAGTAGCTTCACCCTGCTGGTTCTGAGTCTCTCCATTCCTCCACGAGGCTTTGTTTGTTTGTGTCACCTCTGCTTCCTGACTCTCCATCCCCCGTCGCCTGGATAAACAAGCACCGCTGCCTTCTTTCTGGTCCATTGATCCAGATCGGTTTCTGTAGTTTTAACCCATGTGCCTGTTGTTCACAATCAACAAAAGAAGCCTGGATAAGGAGGCCAGCTAATGACACCTGTAATGGGTTTGCTGTAAAGCGTTTAAGATGTGGATTGCTGAGGTGAACGAGGTAATCATACTGAACTGTTAGCTGGTTGGGAGTCAGCAAAGAAAAAGTGTGATGAATATGTGGGTGATTATCTGTTAACTGGTCGAGAAAAAGTGATCCAAACAGTGAATCTGACTTATGTGTGTTGTGCACTTTATTCTACCCTCTGATTCACTACTTGACAGAGTCGCCTTTGACTGTAGTTACAGCTGCAGTTTTATTTTTATTTTTTTTACCAACTTTGTGCATCTAGAAACCAAGATTTGTCCCTTTGAGCAGAGCTCAGTCTCAAACCCTATGAGGCCTTCACAGAACTGCTTAAATATTTTAACTTTAATAACCAGTTAGGTGACTTGATTGTGACAGGTTCATTTAAAAACTTTTGGAAGGTTCTGTGTTTAGTTCTGCACAGTTTTGGTGTGACTTAGTGAAAAAAAAAAAACTAACTCAAAAACTAGTTTTTGGAAAGTAATGACTGTGTAAACTGAACTATATAGTTGGTTTAAGCTGCAACAATTTATAGCACCTGAACACTCTCCCTGAAGCTTTTTGTTAATGATTTAAGCTTTCCAAATTGAATTAGATTTAAAAATGTTATATATTCCAAGACCATGTGATCAAGAATAAGCTACATAATCCAACACATTTGTCAAAATAAAATATTTTAATATATTCCTTTATGTTTTATATACAAAAATATACATTATAATCTATAAATAGACAAATTATTCAATTTATTTCAACACAGAGATGCTTCCAGTAGAGGGGAATGACAAGAAATGCTATCATACTTGATTATTAATGTTACATGCAAACAAAAACACAACAATTCAGGTTTATGCAGTAATCCTTTCAGTGGCAGCCGCACTCGTCAACAATCATGTCCTCGTGGTGCCGCAGGGTCAGGTCGTCGTTCTCGTAGTACAGCATGGAGAGTGGGGTGAGACGTGTCGGCACGCAGGAAGGGCAGGACACTCTTCCTGGGTTGTGATGTCTCAGCAGGCTCTGAAAGTTTACAGAACATTTCACACGAACAGGTCAATGGCTGCACAGTCAGAAGGAGCCATGCTCTGTAGTCATCATCTTACCTGCATGTAGGCGTGGTTGGTGGGGTTGAAGGACTCGTCCAGAGGGATGGGGCACTCTCCCTCACAGCGATAGGCGTTGTAGCGCTTCGGATGCACGATCCACTCATCCCAGCCAATGTGGTCAAAGTCGACCCACATGTCCACCCTGCGACACAGGGGCCCCTGAGTCTGCTCCACTGCAGGGGCCACGGTAGGTGCAGCTCCATCGGTAATCCGCAGGGCCTCCATTCGGTTCCTCTTGTGGCGCCGGCTTTGCCTGTCGCTCTTGGCCCTGTTGGCTGTCACGTACTTGGAGTTTTCCACAGTGTGAATGAGACTGTAGGCTCCAGAGGAATCCTGGGGCAGGTTGTGTTTGGAGAAGATGACCATCATCACCCGGTTTGTGGTTGGATGTTGTACTTTTCTTTGACTTCTTCCTAAGATGTCTTCATCCCCAGAACCGCTCCCGCCGTCTTTCTGAGTCGCCCCTGAGCCCTCTTGGCTCAACACTGCATCTCCTTGGTAAAGCCAGTATTTCAAGAGACTCGTCACATTGAATACCTTCCAGGAAGACTTTGTGCTGCTCGGTGTTGCGCCAAAGCTCCCCAAGAAGACATGCTCCTCCTGGCATGAAGTCCCATCCGGGTCACAGCTGTGCTTATGGGAATGATATAAATCCACAGAGGCACGGTGAGAGGCAGAGAAAGCTGGGAGTCGGATCTGAAGCTCTGCTAGCTGGACCAGTTCACTGGTGGAGATGGACGACATGTCAAAAGTGACCATCCATCTGTCGCCCACTTGATGACAACCTTCAAGAAAAACCAGGAGAAAGAGAAATCAAAGTGTGACACTGCAAGTCTGAGCGAACGTGGAGAGGCCAGATCGCTGGACAGATGTCAAAACACTGAAGTGAGAGGGGAAACGGGGCAGGATGTGTATTGGGCCCCCCCCCCTGCACAAGGCCGTCTGAGGGCTAATATACAACCGCCCCACATAAAACAGAGCCAGGCTTTAAAGTCCAATAAGCATTTTGACACTTGCTGAGTTGTAAAAAAGGAGGGATTGTTAACACAGATAAACAGCCAAGGAGCTGCTGGATGACAAAAACTAACAGTCAAGGTGTAACAGTCCTGGATGTTTGAGCAAAAAAAGGTTTACCAACCTTTGGCCACTAGACTCAGGACAGAATCAGAGCTGTACGCTGACAGCTGGTCCCGTGGAGCTGCAAAGGTGTTGACAGTCAGTGAGGCGATGGAGTCGGCAGCACTGAAGGAGCGGTACAGCTGCATCATGTACAAAGGATATCTACTGCGATGATTAGTTGACATGTTTCTGTGAGCTGAACTGTTCTCCAGGTGTGTGTGATGTCTACGGGTCAGCGTCGAGACGACGGCTCCAAAGGTGCAGAGAGAGAGCGTGCAGAAGACAGCCAGGACTCTGCGCTCCATTTTAGCTGAAACTCACAAAGATCTGCCTCAGTCTGTCCTTCCTCCAGCTGCTCCAGGGCACAAATGATGTTGAGTGCAGATGGAGCTGTAGACCGGCCTTTTATAGTGGACAGCTGCCCTTTGATGACCCCTGACCACTGCAGGCATCTTAACGGCTCCTCTGATCAGCAGAGCACATCAGAGGGCCAGAGAGTAAGCTGCTTTTAGCCAAGGTCATTGTCCTGTCAAACTAACTTTTAAATACAAAACATGTTACATTAACAGTTAAACACTGATATTATTGACACTTTTTTACAATGACTTGCAAATGTGTTCCATTACTCTTAACCCTCTCAAAACCAAGTCACCTTACAACCAAGAACAGAACAGAAAGCTAAGCTAACAATCTGAAAAGTGTCACATCTACTCCCTTTTACTCAGATACCTCTAAATAAAATTGGCAGCAAACGGCAGATTTCAGACTTAACACTGAGCTGTCCTAGTTCCACTGGCAGATTATTTCACTTTTAACAAGTACTTTTTAATCAATATTAAGGAGTTATTTACTTAAAACAAGCTCCTGCTGAAAAAAGTTGTTTGTAAGTCAGTTGTTTCTTAAGATATTTTAGTGAATATCTAATCTTTCTTGTTAGAAAGATTGCATGGAAATAATTTCATATTCCTGCAGGTCTGATAGTAATTATGTCTGGGTGTGGAAAGTAAAGTTGAACTCAGCATTTCCAAAAATATAGTTTATGACTTATTTTAAATTTCGTAGTGTGTTTGTGTGTTTTACTTTTTTCACAGTGGAACAGGTTTTTTTTTCATTAATAAGTGAAATCATTTGAAAATAAAATGTTTTGCATTTGTCATTTTCTTTGTCCAAAGTTCAAAGGGTATGAATAGTTTTTCATGGCATTGTGTAAAGATGCTCAGAAAAACACAAAGAATAAACAAACCCCTGGCAATTAAGAAATAAAAAAAAACATTTTTATTTAGTCAACAATGTATAAGAAATCCACACATGCAGATCCTCACTAAACACTTTGTGGCACTTTTCACAGTAATTCTTTAGCTTATAATTATTACTTGGTATTAAAAACTGCTGGATTCATCTGCATTTATTGTTTGGAAAAATAAATATTTTAGCAGAGAAGAGTATTTATACAGTTCAAGAATTCTGGTTGGAAAAAGATGTGAGAACTAACAAACAAATGGAACTTTAATTAAAAAAAATGTAACAGAATCATTAGAAGTGAAACATTCATATAAAGACAAGCTGTGTGCATTTTAAATACAGTGGGTACAGTGCTCTTTTGTGTTATTTTGATGTCTTTTGTCGCCCTCTGTTGGCGACTCTTCAGGTGCATCTTCTCACAAAGTTTTAAAGAAGTCCTTCACCTGTAAGTGTGAAAAGGTTATTTAGGATCACAGTGGATTAAAAACACGTATGCATCTTAAATTCCATTAAAATATAAACATGAGCAAATTTATAAGATAAAGCACATTAGAGACCCCATGTGGCTCATATAGGTACAGCAGCCATGAGATTGAAAAGTCGGAAACTTACCTTTGCTATAAACAGCTCCTGCACCTTGGGATCCCTATTAAATGCCACACTGGCATCGAGCTGCAACACAGGGATCTTTGTCAACTTCTCAAAGTGTATCCTAAGGTTAAAAGGAGCAAAGCTGTGTCAGACACATACATTAAAGCAGGGGTCACCAACTCCAGTCCTCGAGGGCTACCATCCTGTAACTTTTAGACGCATCTCTGCTCAAACACACCTGGATCAAATAAACTGCTCATTTCCAGCCTATTGTAGAGAGGAATGAATGCTGGTGAGGGAATTCAGACATTTTGGAGCAGAGGTGAATCTAAAAGTTGCAGGATAGCAGCCCTGGAGGACTGGAGTTGGTGACCCCTGCATTAAAGGCTTCAAATACCACACGATGCTGACTGCCATCTGCTCTTACAGAAACTACTGCTGAAAAACTAAAACACTCAAATTATGTTACAGTCATGGTGAGACGAAAGCGTGTTTTGAGCAAAATAAAACTCAAATGTCTTTTACAGAGCTCTAAAATGAGGTAAATCACAACACGGTTAGCTTGGTTACACGATCAGAAACAACAGAAAATGCCATGAAATCATGGCGGAGGAAGACTGCTCTGTAAGGCAGATTGGAAACTGCAGCTCTGAAGAGGAGCTGTGCCTCAAAGGAGGAGCTAGATCCACCCAGGAGTTTTGCACAGCTGGAGGGTTGCCCCAGGAGATTAAACAACTTCTCAAACATACATGAAAAAAATCAAAGCAACACTCCAGGAAATAAGATTATAACATAATGTAAAGCTTAAAAAAGTGGATTTGCCATGATACTGTCCGTTTAAATATCTTTAAACTTGGTAAAGACCAAACTACTTTTAACATATAGTACTATGTGAAATACACAGACGGTGCAATTTTGTTTTACCACAAATGTATTTATTTATTTACTGCAGACACATGATGCGTTTCTTACTCAGTACTCTTCTCTATCAGCCACTTCTCATGCTGCCTATGCAGCGTCTCCAGGTAGTCCAGCTTTACTCCCTCCTCCTCAGGTCTTCCCCGTGACTTCAGACGCTCCATGCACATCTGAGAGAAGCAAAGTTGCTTGCGATTTCTTTGCAAGGTATTGAATTCAGAGCAATAATAATAATAATAAAAAAAAAAACAGATCTTACATCCATACCTTGGGTGAGGCTCTGAGGTAGATGATGCCCTCCAGCTCCACCCGGTGTCCAAACTGCTCCACCATCAGGGAGTGCCAGTCCTGGTAGGTCGCCCATTCAGTGGCGTTGATGCAGCCCAGTTCAAACATATTCAGAGCAAAGACGTATCTGACAGAGAAGATTTAAGGTTAGTTTTAAGTAGGCAGAATAAAGCTGCATAGGTGGATCTCACTCTGAATGCACCAAAGATAAATCAAACACAATACTTGAAATCCAGAATGTGTACTCATGCCTGGGAACTCTGGGAACCAGTTTATTTAAAAGGACTGATGCTTAAAGGACAGACACGGACATGGGTGAGTCTTGAAATAAAATGTTTCACCTGTCACTGTAGACCGAGCGCTCATACACCTGGACAGGGGTTTCCTTTGTGTTGAGGAGACGAGCGGGAGGGGGCTGGAGCTGTATCCTCATTCGGCTCACACAGGAATATGTTTGAAATGTGTAGGACCAGCGCTGAGGGTCCTGGTACATCATCTCCAGCAAGTTGCTGACTGTTGCTTGGGGTGAAGCATCTATTTCCTGGTAAATAAATGGGAATAATTTACTCTTATCTTCCTCTTTGTCATACCAAATGGTCAAATGGTGTCTGGGAGAAAAATAATTTCACCTTTGATCCCTTGATCTCAATGTTCTGCCATTTACCGACAGGCTCTTGCATCACCTCCCAGTCCGTAGAAACCGACTGCAGGAGTTTTGCAAAGGTTGACTTTCCAACAGCTGTTAGGAGAAAAGCCCATGACATAGAAGCAATTATTATGCAGTCTTCCCATTGTGCAGTTCTTTAAATTTCACATCACCCGTACACATTGCACCATGTTAATTCCTTCATCAGGATAATATGATCCTGTTTACTCACTTCAATCAGAAATAGAATCTCTTACAAAAATATTCATACACCTTGAGTTTTTTTAGTTTTTCCTCAACCAACAACAAACCAATAAATAAAATTTATTGGGATTTTATGATAGGCCAAAAGAGTAGCTCATAATTGTGAAATGGAAAACAGATAATGCACAAATTGTTGTTCAAGTTGTTTTACAAATAAAAACCAAAAAGTGTGGTGTACATTTGGATTCAGTCTTTTTCTTGATTTTGCTTTAGCACTGGTGTTTATAGAGGCCATATTTTTGCAGTGCAGGACAAATTGATTATTTTGAGTTGTGTATCCCTGCAGCTCTTTCACAGATGATTGCCTCTGAAGGAGACTTTTGCCAGGCAAAAGTATGATCTATGACATCATACTGAGGTATACCACTGTATAAAGATCCTTACAATAACTTTATGATAACTTATTTTATCTCTACTAGTTTTTTCTCAATTACAACGGACTCTGTAGTTATACAACTCAAAGATCCAGTGATCTTACCGACGTTTCCCTCGATAGAAACTCTCTTCACCCGCGATGCACCATCCCTAGATGAACTCGAGTAGTTTTTAGAGCAAGAAATACTTGGATCCCCTATATTTTTATCCATAGAACTGCAGATAGTTGTCCTTCCTCTCTGAAATGAGCTGTTTTGTGGTTTCCACAGTGTGGACGCAAACCTCCTGAGCTGCGTCAGACCTGAACACCGTTTCTGGATTTCAGAAACCCGGTGTAACAGAAGGAGTCGGTGGAGGGCAGCCATCAGGATATTCACTTTAATTTTGATGATATCAAACACTTTTCCGAAGTTGTCCTGTCTCTTATTAATCAGCAGAAACATCACCACGAGATGAGCTCATGAAAGCTAGCTCTACCCAAAACATCCTAATGTAACATCAACTATCGGAGCAAATTAAAACGTCTTTCTACGCTTGTAAAATATACTTTATTTCGATTATAAAAGTCAAATTTCAGTCTCGCATAAGTCACTCCTCGTTAGCACAATTCTGAGTTAAATTTGGTAACATGTGCCAGTTGATAAACGCTACCAGCTTAGCGTTAGCAACTAGACGCACTTCCGGCATAACATCATTCACTTTCACAATAAAAGCCTTTCAACAACTATGTTATTTCCTCTATGCTAAATGAGCATTTCATGATTTTATGTCGGTGTAAAAACTAAATGTCAAAGGTGATGTTGCACAGGGAGAAGGACATCTTTATGCTTTCTAATATAATTGAAAAATTTATATTGGAAAATCTACCAAACCATGTCTAGCTACATAAAGTGGCAGACTGCTTATAAACAATATTCTAAGTTTTGGAAATTATGGAAGCTCTTAAGACCTAAATACAATTGTAAACCTGTGGTAAGAGATTTCTTCAACCAGCCTGACTGAAGCTTTGGCTATTCTTCAAGAAGAATGGGCAAAAACGTCAGTCTTGAGTGTACAAAACAGATAATATGCCAGATTGAATCACCTGTTCACAAAATTCTTGTAACCGTATATTCTTTAATATGTCACCACAACTTTATTTTGTTTAAAGAACATAACCAAGATTTAAAATCAATTTTATGAAACAAACTAGTGAATATTCATTCTACAAAAAAACATTTTCAGTCCTGAAATAAAAGCATTTACATTAAAAACTATCACAGAAGTCCCAAATTACAGTTTTATGCAAGCCATTTATAAATGCACAAATAAATGATAGCAGCAGACAATTCACCTATAATCAGAGATGAAAATAGTGCCAGAAAACATTTGAAAGTAAAGAATTTGTAAGTCATAGTCATTAGAGCAACATTATCAGTAACTTGTGTTTTTGATGGTGATCTTTTGAGTAGCGTTGATCTTGAAGTCGCCAACACCTGAGAAAATTAGGTATTTTAATTACTTTACTTCAGGGAATTTAACAGACTACAGTAATTAATATTGCTGAATGTCACTGCAACACGTGTGTGTGTGTCTTTACCCTCAGTGAGAGCCATGCCATCGGAAGAAAGGTGCCAGTATCTGCGGTCGATTTGTCTGGCCTGCTCTCCATTTACAACGCTCAAGAATGGTCCCCACAGACTGGATTCCTTCTGAAATCTGCCAAGCAGGACCAGATTTTACTCACTTCAGCAGGTTTGACAGAAAATGACTTGCTGCAGCTCATTAAATGTACTTACGTGAAGCCAAGATTCTTCCTCTCAAGCAGCTCCAGGGCTTCCAGCAGGGAGCTGCCCTTTGGCACGTCAACAGAGTATGCAGCTGCAGCTCCGCTGGCAGTCACCACTTCCACCATCACTTTCACTTTGGTCTCACTTGGTAAAACCACAGTAGGGTCTACAGGCTCCAGCACCAGTGTGTCTGCAAAAAGAAAACAACATGTGAAATAAGAAACAATACTGGTCAAAGTGACCTAAAAAAAAAAAAAAAAAAAAAGCTGGAAGCAATGCTGCACATACCGTCCTCATTGAGGCAGTCCAGGGTTTTTACCGACAGGTAGGTTTTCCTCTGGAGCGCCGGCAGAGTCTGAGAAATAGCCATGGGGTTGTGGTAGGTGTTGCTTCTGGCAGCTGTTCTCATGGCCTCCATTGAGACAGAACAATCTCCAACCTCGCTGCCCATTGCCAGTAAAGCCTTGAATGTCAGTAAATGAAGCAAGAGTGATTTTTAAAGTTTTATGCAGAAACAAGGAAAGGTGGTGAGGAGAGAAAACAAATAACTTCTTACTTGAACTGCCAGACCCGTGCTGAACTCATTGCCAATATGACCGTCAGATCTACGAGAGGCCAGAAGCTTCTGCTTGATCTTGTTGAGAGTTAAATCCAGCTCCTCTGCATTGTGTGCATATGACCCAGAGTTCTTCACGCACTGAAGGGCCATTCCAGCCATAGCATAGGTATCTAGGAGATTTAAAAAAGCTGAAACACAACCTGGTCTGCATGTTGTCAATATGTTATTACAATACCAGATTTTAAGATGTAAAAGAGCTAAACTGATTCCACACATTTTGTTGCAATCATCTTATATATTTCAGCTGAAAAAACAAACCATTTTTTAAAATAAAAAAGTGCAATAATCCAGTTGCATAATCTGCAGAGTCTTAAACTAATGGTTTTTAATTCAGTCTTCTTTGGTTGGACCCCATGAGTATACCACATCTTGACTTGATGAGATTTGCCTAAACTGCCTTGCAAATGTCCTCCAGATCGGAACAGTTTATTATTTGAACAGTACGTCATCAATGGTGGTTTTTAAATTACTAGTCACAGCTATTTTATTTTGCAAATCGAAAACCGGGCAATTTAATCCACTTTACAGGACTGAGTCCAAAGATTTTCAACAGCCCTTTAACTCACCGATACTCTCGGTTTCTCCATGTCTGAAGTGCTCATTTTCTGCTGCTTTGATGAGCTTGTGGCTGACATGGTTGTTGACCCTTATGCCGCTCACACAGAGAGCAAGCACACCCAGGCTGTACTGGTAATAGTTGGTCAAAGGGCGGTGGCTGACTGCAAGACGAAAGAAAAAAAAACTAAATGATATAAAACTTTACTGAAGTTAGAAAAAAATTATGCTTTTTTTTGGTATTATGGTGTTTTGTTGAGCTTGAATCAGTTAATAGTTCCCTATTCCTGGATAATGTTATGTTAGTTATGTCTTTAACTGTTTCATTTTTGTTGTTCAGCGTTTTCAGAAACAGTTTTCTTTCTGGGAGACAATTCACAGCAGTGAACTCTGACCTCATGCCGCAGGACAGTAAAACAAGTTTCTGCAAACGTTTTAGAAAAAAAAAACGGAACCTGTTGTGAAGAGAAATCTTACAGGCGATATGATATTTCTCCTGCTCCATCTGCCTCTTCAGGTGTGTCAGCAGTGTCTCGCTCTTGTCATTTGCAGTGAAGCTGATGGTGTTGAGGTCATAGCAGGAGGACTTCAGGGCCAGACTGTACAGCGCCATGGTGCCAGTCACAGTCTTGCAGTTTGAGAGTGAGCTGAAGGACATCAGACAAAGTTATAAACAGTGGATGTTCATAGTTTCACATATAACGTCAATGAACTGTAATGAAACTTGGAAAAATACGTTTGAATGTCATTGTGAAGTTCATTTTTCAGTTTGTTGAGGTGATCTGTCTCCTTGGATTGGTTGTGGTGATGAGACAGTCGAAGAGCCAGGTGTACGCTGGGATTGGGAAGTCCTTCCGGGCTTTCCAGAGAACGAACAAGATTCCTGTTGAGTGTCAGGAGCAGCTCAGAATTGGATCCTTCAGTAACTGGAACAAATTTTTCAAAAAAAAGAAAAAAACATTTACAGGGATGTCTCTCTCTGTATTGTTGCTGACATCAACAAGAACTTCTGAAGCATTGCGAAACCCCAAGAAGCTGCATCAGCAGTTAAGATTAAGAGCAAATTACAGAATCCCTCTACCCAGATAAACTCAATACAAGTTAAAGAAATTGCATGAGGTAAAAATAAAAACACCTTTCTACTCTGCCGCTTGTGATCGTTTCTAAAAGGTTCAACATTCTACAGATTTGTTCAGTTTTTGGTGGAGCTGCCTGCAGGTGCATCATTCAGTAAATTGGATGGCATGAACTTGCTCTAAAATATGGTTATGATGTTTTGATTTTTATCTTTATATAGTTAACAATAGACACCAAATAAATACACATACCCCAAAATCCAAATTATTAAACTGGGGCTCAGCACAGCCAGGCCCTCTTTCTTAACTGGAACTAACCTAGACATCATTTTGTGGAGGTAGCCTCTGTTAGATTTACTGACAGGTAATTTGGGGCATCATCTGCAGTAATGCAGGTGCTGCATCTGTAAATGTGAATAAAAACCTCAGCAAACAAGCAATGCTCTCCATACTGATTGGTCAATAATTTATCTCTGACATATGATCACGAGATAAACATCATGGTTGAATGGACGAGATCCTAGGTGCAAGCAACTAAAATAAACTTCTCCTGTACAATAGATTCAGGTAAGGAGCTCCATAAGCCATCAGAGGAGCTTAAAAAACAGGAGCCATTTAAGATGGTGTGGGGATCTGACCAGGATACCTTCAGGATGCCTCATTTTGGACATTTTTAAAGGCACATCCCAATGGGAAGAGACTCCAAGGCAGAGCAAGAACTTACCAGAGGGGCTAAAAGTCTCCTCTGGCATTGGGAACACCTTCAAGATCGCCCAGTAAGGACTGGAGAAAGTTATGAGGAAAGATGTCTGGTCTACTCTCTTCAACCTGCAGGCTGCTTATTGTCTCATAAGAGGAAGACATCAAATGGATGGGCCTTAGCAATGACTTTAGTCTGAAAAAGGTTACCATACATATTGACTGTGCTTGTTCAACTCAGTAAATTAAATAAGAAAAAAAATCTATAAAATCCTACTTTTATTTTAATGCTAACCCCATCCCTATGCTACAACAAAAAAACACTCAAAATGACTGATTTCTTCATATTATACTGGATAAATAATTTCTGAAATGTTTTTGTTTCTTTTTTAATTTTAGGATTTTATCCTTGAGTCTGAAGTGCTCAAAGGGTTTCTGCCAACTGGGCGAGGTGGAAGAGTCAAAATTTCGAAGATTGCAAAATCTGAGAATTTCCAGACTTGGTTGCATCACAATTCAGGTAGTTTTAAAAAAGTGTTTACTGTTTTCAAGATACAAATATATATTTAAAAGCTACTTACCACACGGCTTGCTGGAGGCAAAAGCCAGCAGTCCGGTAATAATTACTAAAGCTAACATTCTGGCTATCCAAAAAGAAAACAAAATAGAAAAATTAAATTACACAAACATTCACATGACATTGAAGCATTTCACACTATTATAACAGTATAATCTGGAAATATTAGCAAGATATAGACACAACACTGCTGCTACCTAAGCCAGTAAGACATTGTTATAGCAGTAATGTCGCAATGGATTTGCAGTTAACTTTAACAACATAGCTGTAAAGAGTAGCTTTTTACCTCCTGAGTATCCAATGCAAAGAATCAAAGCTGAGTGGGAGAAAAACAGAGAGAGAAATGCTTATAAACGCTTCGGTCTCACATGACCCATCATCTGAGATGACACAACTTTGAGAAAGTTGAAGAGTTCACCATATCTTTAAACAGCAATACAACAGGAAGTTGGAAAACGATGGGGAACAGTTAGGTGATTGTGATTGGTTAGAATTCGAGGCGCTTGTACAGCGGAGCCAATCAAAGTTAGAGTTATATAAATTCATGATTATTACTTTAAAAAGTTTGAAAAGCAGAACCTTTAAATAATGAAACAACAATTAGATATAATTACTGGTTCTTCACGCAGAGCTGTTTATGTTAACTTATTGATGTAACCGACTGTGCTGACAAAAAAGAGTTTGTGTCTAGTGTGGCATAACTACGTTACCCATAATTCAGCTGTGCCTCGTGCGTAGCTCACGCTCTTTCTAGAATCTCGACGAGTCTTCCAGCGTAAGTGTTTTTTTCATTCGACGTCAGGTTGACCCGCCCTACTTTCAAAGCCTTTCACACACAATAAGGCGTGTGGTCTATGAGCCATTTCTGCTTAGCCTAGGTTTAATTATTTTATCGGGTCATATCACCTTGCGTCTGCAGATGCTGTTATTGTCTACTATTGACCGCATTAAACAGAGAAACCACGAACTGTGCGGAGAGGACCTAGCTAAACATCGACAGCAACAAACGGCGAGGGGGCAGGGCAGGTTCACAGGTCAGTGCTTTAACTCGTGTTTTTATGAACTTGTGCAAAAATATTAGTCACCTCAATGAGAATTTTATTACCATGCATCGTTTAGATAAATAATACACCAACAAGATACAAATGAAAGCCAAGAGATAAATTCCGTAATGGCATGTTGGTGACAGCCATTACGTGCACGTTGTAGAAAATGTTTGTTTTTTCAAGCTGATCTAATTAGCATCAGTTCTGATCTTTCAGATTAACACTTCTTATAACCACCTGCCTCAAATCTGCCCTTCGACTGGTTCTTCATGCACATCCTCTTCCCTCGGCCAGTGAGCTGGGGTGTCTACCAGCCATGTATTCATTTTCAGGCCCCACTGCTCTGCCTGAATTTGACTTGGGACCTCCAAGTACCTCTGACAGCCTTCAGAGAGAACTAAACCCAGACAGGTAATGTGCTGATTGGTATGTTTTTGACTGAAGTTGACCAGGAATGCATACAGGAATGTTTTGTTTTTGACATATTTGTCTCTGCTCCACAGCAGCTGGGAAACAAGACGCTTCTGTAAGCACAGAAGACTACATGATGAGTAAGTGAGCAATGTGTTATGAATAATAATTGTAACCCTAGTATCACATAAAACTTTATTTGAATTTTATGTGATCAGCATTAAGTGGCACATATTTGTGAAGTGGAAGTTTTTAATGTTTTTATTTTACAAGTAAAACAGAAAATTATGATCTGCATTTGTCTTCAGTCCTCCTGACATCGTTTTTGCAGGATCATCTTTTGCTCAGATGCTTCCATGTCGCCAGCTGTACACATCTTGATACTAATAAGCTGATCTAAATCAAGTTGGATAGAGAAAGTCTGATGAATTTGTAAAAGTTGCCACTTTGCATTTCGATCTGCATTTGGCTGGATATGAGCTACTTTGTTTTGCTCTCTCTCATAAAATCCATTTGAAAATACACAAATGTGTTTTTAATGTGACAAAATGCAAATGTGTAAAGGCTCCACACAGGCATATTCTAACAAATTTTCTGCTTTGTCAGGGGCTGCAGTGCCAAAAAACGGAGGTTAATGCCTGAAACAGAAGTGGATATTTTGGCAAACGGTTGTCCTACTCTGTCAGCACAGCAAGTCCCCCTTGCTCGTCCGCAGCCATGTTCAGCACATCAGAGCCTCACTTTGACACAGCCCTCTTCTGTCCAGCCCCGAGCTGAGATGGAGAGCCCCTGCATGGAGATAGAAGCGGCTCACAGGAAACTGCAGGAGATTGAAGACAGGTGTGGCGCAACTTTGTGCCTGCTTGTCCTCAAGTTGAGTCAGAAACATAAAACCACCAATGCTTGTGCATTTATTCATAATCCACTGTTGGACCTTTAAACCAAAGTCCAAACTTTGGGTGATTTTTCACTTACTTTTGCTTCCACCCTGGCAATATACATATTTCCCATTGAGTCCTGCTGTACGCTCCATTTATTTCAAACAAAGGGGCTTTGTTTCACTAATCAGTTGTTAGTTTTTCTGGTGGGTTCAGCACATGACTACATTGTGTGGCTGTATTTTTTGTTTTCACTATGATTTTGATGTGTTGCAGAATAATCCTTGAAGATGACGACGAGGATCTTGACGTAGAGCCGGTCCCGAGGCGGCCGGTTCTGGTCATCTCAGACAGTTTGAAGGAGGGCCTGCAGCGCGGCATCAGTGACATTCTCCCCCAAACTGTGGCCCAGTCTGTGTACGTGCTCCATGGTCATTTCCATAATCCTTTGGTAACAACTGAAGCAGGAACGTGTTCAGCGCCGTCCACTGTTACTTTCACCGCTTAGTGTATCTGCCCTACTGGAATGACGTGTTCTCTTGTGTTACTGGTTTTGAAGAGTAGCTAAGACAAAAGATCTTCTAGTCATATTTATTCTCCAGGGAAACATGGATTACTACATAAAAGCTCATGGTGTTTCTGATCATTTTAAAACAGTTAAAATGGCTAATAGGTATTATTAGGAGTGCTTTTATGTATTTGAAAAATACACTGCTGGCATTTCTTTTGTAATTTCCGGACCCCGTTCAGTAATTCATGAGTTATGCTGTTGCACACTACAAACCCCGAGGTACAGGAAGCAACAAATCCTCATAACCTCAACTTATCAGAATACATTTAAACTTTCCCACATACCTTTAAAATACCTCCAAAAGAATGGTTCTCCTAAAATCAGAACATTTTGTTATGTTAGCCTGCCTGCTCATTCATCATTGGAAAATGTAAAATAAGTCGGGTTTTACATTAACCTAAGCATGTTATGGCTATAGAGCAAAGATATTGTTAATCATTATAAACTGTTAAAGTGAAATTTTACCAGATGGTAATTATGTTAAATCTTAGTTAAGCTTTATTATGTGGTCATAAAAAGGAAGTAGATCTAATTTACTGAAACTTGAAGAAAGACAGATTTAGTTTTTTTTTTTTTTTTTTTTTTTTTTTTTCCTACATTTTCACAAATTAAAAAAAAGTTTAGTTTTACTGAAGGAATCCAGAAAGTTCCAGAAAATTAGGTGCATTTCTAGAATCTTCTGAGAGATCTTCATAAAAGCATTGTCGGAGTTTAATAAATTTACTATAACAATTACCTATCTAAATGTTCATCTGCTGCAACTTCTTCCCCCTCACTCTCTCCCCTTCCTCTTGACCCCAGGAGTCCTTCAGGCATGGAGCTGGTCCTGTGGCGTCCTCCAGAAGATCCCTTCTGCCAGAGGCTGAAGGACTCGCTACAGAAGCAGCGTAAACGGCAGACGGTCAGCCAGCAGCTCCCAACTCCGTGTTCGTCTCCCAGTCCGCCCCTCAGCCCCTCCTGCCCACCTGCAGAGACATGCGCGCCCATGTACAGCTTCACTGTGCTCCACAACTCGGCGGAGGAGGACATGGAGATTTAACCTCGAAGCCAAAGTGAAGGACTGGACAAGCGTCACAGAATAAGCTGACTGGTTGTGTTGTGATCTCCTGTTGATCTTGAGCTTGTTTGTGCATCATTTATTTGCCACACATTGTTTTCTGTGGACAGATATGTGAGGATTAACTTTAACAGTGTTATTGATGTAAACCTTGAAGGCCTGTAAACTTGCCGCCTTACTAACGTCCAGTCATAAGTTGGAGGGATTTTGTACATATGACTGACCAGCAGCACACTGGTGTAATGTAAATATGACTTATGTTACTGTTGACCATAAGTGTGCAACGCCTGGATCTTCTTCTCTGCAAACTTTAGGGAGTCCCTACAGAACACTAAAAGCCTGACTTCCTGTTTACCGTCGTATCGTGGTGGAGGAGTAATCCTCCTCTGTCGCAGAAACGCTCTCTGTGAACTTTGACTTTTTAAAAGAACTCAGTTGTTTCGTGATGGAGGAATAATCTTCCTCTGGTTCAGATATTTGCCACATTTGTGACCTTTGATTACTTTGTAATGAATTCTTCAAAGGCATTTTTTATGACTTGCATAAACTTCGCATTTGTACATTGCCATGAAGCATTGTTACTTCTTTTGTTTTATAATAAAGCATGGTTCACGCGGAGGTTTTCAAAAACATTTCTCTACAGTTTTTTTTTAAACGCGTGCTTAACTCTAGAAGTGAAATACGTTTTTAGGTTACTGCTGTTTATCGGTCAAAATAAGGACGCCTGCCTTCACTAAAACAAATGATTTTGTCTGACTGTTGACCTCAGATTAGAATATGAACAAGGTCATTTCTATTTTCCTATTTCTAAAAGTAAAAATCATAACAGAATTATTTAATTTTGTGATTAAGGCATACAGCTAATAAAAACTGTTTGTCAGAAAATTTTCATATTTTCTGTAATAGTTCTTTTATATCTTCTTCTGCAGCAATGTTATGGCCAACACAGTTTTAAGGCTCAAACCAAACGGCAATGTCATTCATTTTTTGAATTATTTTCAATCTGTGGTTGCCAGGGTATTTTATGTTTCCGCATTTGAGCACTACAAATATCTGCTGTACATTTAAGGTGAGGTTTTGATGGATGAATCCCTGTAATGAAGCGGCGTCTTGTCACCGTTTGACCTCTGGAGATAAGCAACAAACTCAAATGAGCTAGCAACAATAAGCAGCTAAAAATTATAAATTATTATATTTCTGGAGATCTTAGTCTGGATGATGACACATTGTGCTCTAGTTCCTCAGAACGGAGGCGTGGCTGTACGGTTAAAGCTGTCATGATTAATATGTGCTGGCAGGAAGGCGTCCCTTTCTTCTCCTGAGCATTTCCGTAAGTCATGATGTCATTTAGTTTGGCTTTGGCATGTAAAACATTATACAAGGGTTTCCTCACACATGACAGTTTTATTAGGTTATTTAACAAAAGTGGCATGATTTAATTTACAGTTCACAACTCATTCACAGTTCACTGTGTCGACAGGCCACGGGAGATTCCTTTTCCTCGGCGCAGATGAATGCTGCCTTATGTCACAGTGACCTGCCTTTTATTCTTCTACCACATGCAGATGTAACAGTGAGTGAGTCATAATGACTGCCACTGATTGGCTGTAAAATGCATTCAACATCATTTCAGTTGTGAGGTTTTGGAGTCATACCACAAAGGATGCTTTTACAAGGAATTAACTCAGTGGGACCTGGATATTAATCCACATTTTTTTTTATTTTTAATTGGGGGGGAAAAAAAAAAAAAAAACTGGCACGGCACATCTCCTTTTCCTTCCTCTTCTCGATTTTGAATCAAACCCTCAACTACCACTGAGACACCGTCCCCCACGGGAGAGTTTGTGGTTGCAATACAGAAAACTCCAAGGGGTGTAAATACTTTTGTATGCCACTGCACAGCCTGTGATTATGCTTAGCAGTGAAATATCCTCAAAAATCTCCTTTGGGTAATTCCCCTCTCGCTGTTGTCAGAGAGGATCCTGACACATCAAAGCTCAGTGTGTCTGGGAAAACCTGGAGCTGCTTCACTCTGCTCTGCAGGGAGCAAAGGAGCTGAAACAGAGAGACGTCTGAGGGGACGTGTGCAGCAGTGCAGACCACTGCATGATGCAAGTGGGAGCAAACAGCCTCCTGAGACTCCTGATGGAAGAAAGGAGAGAACAGGAACGGTGTTAGCGTGTTTGTTGAAGGAGTAGGTGTCATCTACACGTCATCTACCTTTGCCCCAGACATGGTGCTTCCGTCGGGACTTGTTTCTTTCATCTTTGATGCATTCCTGTAAAAGCTGCCACAATGAATAGTAATATAAAAAAAAAAAAAAACCACACACACACACAGCACCAGCAGGAACGTACATGTTTACGCCTGCAGGTAATGATCCATCTACTGTGCAGTTTCAGATTGAAACGATACTTTTTTATATTAGCTGGTTAGTTACTGTGTTATTTGTTACCTGCACCTCATCAGCGTCGTCTTGCACCTGTGGGATGGAAAACGTTTGAAAGTGTTGTCATGGACGCACAGCCACGACTGAAGTGAAACATGCACGAGACGTGCTGTAAGGATGATTTTGTGTCACCTCTCCAGGTCAGCCGTCAGCTGCTCGGCAAAGCCGTCTGCGAGGCGAGCCGCAGTCTGCTGCTTCCACTGAGCCGTGTTGGTCTTAAGCTCCCTCAGCTCCTGCTCCCGGGCCTTCAGCTGCCTGCAGAGAGACGCTGCCGCCCCTCCCTCAGACCCAGGAACACATTTCAGACTGCGCAACTCCTCAATGTGCTCCTCAACACAAGTTAGAATAAAAAAAGAATTTCAGCAACTGCGTAAGACTATTTGTGTATGCTTACAAAAAAAAAAAAAAGCGTTTGTATTCAAAGTTTGCACCTGAATAAGACGTGCCTTTAAAGCTTGATCTTTCTCTTTCCTGTGGAGGTTGAGTTCTTGCTGCCGAAAGGAATATTAAAACATAGACATGTATTTACAGCGAGTGCCTCAAAGACTCTTGTCCTCTTTCAATATTTTGTCATGCTCCACAGCAAATATTTTATAATAGCTTAGGAGGATTTTATAAGCTCAATCAACACAAACAGTACATAATTAAGAAGCCAATTGAAAAAAAAGATACTTTATAATAATAACAGAGATGAAAATGGTCTGAAAAGTGTGGCATGCATTTGTTTTCAGAGAGTTCTTAATATAAGTCAAGTTGGGGAGACAGAGTCGTGTGGTAGACGATGCAAAACACTATGAATGACTAGAAAAACACCCGACTTCATCCTGAACACACCATCGCCATCCTGAAATAGTGTTGGCGGCATCATGCTGCGGATATACTTTTCACCAGCACGTAGAAACATGGAAACTTAAGAGTATGGAGATTAATACAGAGCAAACCTGGAAGAAAAGTTCTTAAAGGCAGCAAGACTTTGGTAAGATGTGTTTTCACCAACACTCTGTCATCCATCCTGTCTGAACGAGATTTAAAGATTTTGCAAAGAAAATATATTTGAAACCCATGTATCATTTTCCCCCCCCCATTTCACAGCTTAGTACAACTTTGTGATGAACTCATTAACGTTTGTGCTGCTGTTGAAGTGTGAATACTTTTGCCACGAGGATTAGAAATCCTCAGCTCCTATCGTCGCCACCTGAGCTTCTTCCAGCTCTCTGTAGAGCTGCAGCTCCCTCATCAGGTCGTCTCTGTCCGCTTGCAGAGAGTCCCGTTCCTCCTGCAGACCCGTCAGCTGCAGCTCCTTCTGCGCCAACATTTGGCCCAGCGTTCCCACCTCGATCCTACATTCTCCCAGTTCGTGCTGGAGCTCGATGACTTGAACATCAGGGGGCTAAAAGTGAGAAGCAGAAAAGCAGAAGCAACATGTAACCTTTCACCCATCAACATCTTAAGTAAAGTAGAAAAAAAACATTACAAACTGGTGAAATATTTATATTAAATGATATCAGAATGCTGCATTAATCTGAACTGGAAATTCAAAAACAATGTATTTTTCAACTCCTCAACACTTCTAAAAAAAACAAAAACAAAATAATAACATCTAACCAAGATCCAGAAAACTATTGCCTTCAAGACAAAAACCCATTTTTGGACGGACTACAGTAATGAGGGAGACTGTGGTCTGATCGGTGATGAAGAAGAAATCTTTATTTGAATCAAATGAATACTGTATATTAAAGCAAAACCAAACTATAAGTGATTCAATATCTGAATAAAACATTTGATTTTATTCAAAGGTTGCAGGCGCTAGCATATCCTTCCAGTATTGTTTTATTCATATTTTGCACGGGATTTGACATAGATAGTGAAAGAAGAGAATGTCACCTCCTCAGTCTGATGCCTTTTCTCCTCCAGCTGTTTCTGCTGACATGGACATCTGTTCAGCGGTGAGCTCCCCGCCCTGTGCAGCTCCTCATGAAGCTCCTCCAGCTGTTGCTCCAGGAAGTCATTAATGAGTTACAAACATTTTCCAAACACATTCGCAGAAAAACAAACACATTTTTGCTCCCAATTTTGTCAAATCCAAGACAAACATTGGAAAAATACTGGAAAAACACAAAGATATGATCATTTATTATTTGATCATTTATTATTTGGTTTTCAGTTGTGGTTTGATCCATTGCGGTGACGTTTTAATACGATTCTGTTTGAGAAACGGTGCGAGAACGGAAGAAATCAAAATTAAGTCGTTTAAAACCAAAAAACAGGATTTATTGCTGAACTACCTTCTTCCACCAGAACACAGTTTTCAGATGCGACTCTGTCTGCCTCTGCAACTGCTGTAGCTGGTACCTACACACAGACACACACTCACATTGTTTCACTGTTTGAGTAACCAAAACACAAGCACGTCGGTGAACTTTGTAGCAAACAGATTATTTCTCCGACCTGCTGTTTCTCAGAACAAACTCCAAAGATCTTTTCTCCTTCTGCATCCAAGTCGTATCTGCAGACAGTTGTTCCAGCTGCCGGGCGGCTTCCTGCGTCACAAGCAATAAACTGAGGCCTCAAACTACAATTTTGATCTTACGTCCTTTTCTTAAACTACGCAACACACCTTCTTTTTCTGTCGGAGCTCGGAGAGACAAAGCTCAACTTCTTTCAGCTGAATCCACTTTGATCTGAGCTTCTTCTCCTCGTTCTCCCATTTCTAAGCAAAAAGCAAAACATTGCTGCAGACACGCGGGAGGATTTCTGATGAATGTCGTAAAGGGCGAGCTCCATTCCTACACGTCGGAGGTCAAAGACTTCCTCTTTCACGTTGATGCAGTCTGACAGCTGCCTCTCTGATGTCTTCACTGGAGTGGACGTTCTGATGGGGTTTTTAATGTCTTCACTGCTGTCTTTATTTTCACTGAAAAATAAATAAATAAATAAATAAACACAAGCATGAGAAACTGAAAAACAAGGGAGTCACAAAACCTTTAAAATGTTGAAAATCACACAAAAAAAATCTTCTGCGTACCTGTCGGTTTTTCTGATGTTCTGCTGACTGTTGGAGGACGCAGAAAAACTTTTCTTCTGTTCCCGTCCATCAGGGAATCTCCTAGCTTTGTAATTATAAAACAAACAGCTTGTTTATTGTTTAATAAAATTCAGTCTTTTTTTTTTTATTTACCTGCTGTAAGCTGAGTTTCTCCCTCTTCCTCTCCAGCTGAGTCACTGTCACAGTGCTCAACGCAGCTGGCATTCAAATCACCAACATCCTCCATGAAGGAGCAACACCCTTGTGAGGGAGCGGAAAAGGTTACAAACATGTTTATGGAGTGCTAAATATATATATTTTAAAACATGTTTTTTTAATCTTTATTTAAAGTTTGGCATCCCACATTTTTTTTTTTTTTGTCCTTAATGTTTCCTCTTTGGCTCCTGCTGCGCCTACCTCTCCGCCTGACCTGTTCAGTGATGTCCAGATCAAAATTGCCGTCAGTGGACATGTCGCCAAAGCTCCATGTTGCAACTCCTGAAACAGAAACAAAACACAAACTGCTTGAGGTCGACTGGGCGTCCTGATGAACAGGGTTCATACAGTTTAGACGAAGATCTACATTTTTCCAAATTCAAATTCGACCTGTTCAGATTGGACATGAAGAAGGAGAACCAACTGGAATTTCTTCTCGCCAGAAAATAAAGGCTAGAAAAAAAAATCCCAAATGAGCACAATGAATATAATTAGAAACAAAACTTTGGCTGTAGCTTCAGAACAAAGGATTTGAGGACAGAGATATCACCCCAAGGTAACAAAGTGAGAAACTGCTGAGGCTGTAACTCTGACTGGTGTTTGGGGGAGGAAACGAAGCGAGCCGAAATAAACCGAGTCAACACCGTCACCGAGTAAAGTTTTTACAGCCAAGACCTCGTTTAGAGGCTTTAAGCCTTGCAAGCTGATCAGTATTATAATCCTCTTTGTTTTTCCTTTCACAACATCTAGAGGTTTCAAAAGGAAATGCAAAAACAGAAATGGTAAAACAAGGGTTGTTGAAGGCAACAAGAAATCTTCTTTGTTTTAAATTTAAATGCTTAGGTTGCAATAGAGGATTTAACAGATAACCGATGAAAAGCAAAAATAAGGCCTGATTAAAAGAAAGAACAGACTGAAAGAGGATGGAGTCCTGAAATTGACATAATCGAAAATACAAAAAGCTAAACCCATTTAACTTTTTTTTTCTCCAACTTATTTTTCTTCCAGAGATCAAAGATAGAAAGCAAAGATTATTCTTTTTTTTTCTTTTTACTTCCCAGCAAAACTGTGATGTTTCTTCATAAAGTGTCTGAACAAAATGTGCCCACGATCAAATGCTAACAATTTATTGTAATATTTTCTGTTATTTGGTAGAAATGTTCCTGGTCTAGACTCACACAGTCGCAAACACTCTCTTTTTGTTGAGACCGATATGGTAGAAATAGAGAACACCCTCTATCATGTCTGGCATTTTAACCAATAAATAATCCTGTTTTTTGTTGTTGTTGTTTGTTTTTTTATCTGACTTCCAAGGTTCAATACTTAATGCAACAGGTTCCACATGATCATTGTTTATTAAACAGATAGCCAACATGATAATCCCTAGATACATAGAGATTATGTGAAATACTAGAATGAAGGTTTACCTTATTTTTTCCATGGCTGTGAATGGGCACCAGGTGTAATACATGCAGAGGCATTTCTTTTACACCAAGCTCTATCTAACTAAACATTTAAAAGTCATTCAATTAAAAAAAAATCAACTCTAATAATAATAATAATAATAAAAACTTCAAAAATACTTTATTAATCCCAAAGGGAAGTTAAATGTTGTTGCAGCTCATCAAGATTCTTCAAAGGATAAAAGAAAAGGACAAACTCTAACAAGTCAAACACAATAATTATGCAACTGTAGTGAACCTGATTTGAGCCAAAAACACGTTTCAGGATAAACAGATCGACGTCCATCTGTGCAGGGGAGCATTTGTTTTCGCCTCATTCCCGCCACCTGGAAAAATCCAGAAGATGCATGACGACACCTTGTTGCCAGATTGCACCTACCGCTGCTGCGGTCTCCAGGCCTCAGTGGCGTCTTGCTTCCCTCTCCGGCTCCTGCCTTCTCATGACGGCGCGACATATTTTCTCCACGGCTGTCAGAAAGAAACGCACCGTCTTCCCTTTCTGGATCAGATCTGTTCGACTGTAAACCACGAGCCATCGCCGTGTCGCTTGTTTCCGACCTTCTTTCCTCTGGACGTTGCCAGTTTTGATCACTTTCATGAGTGTCACTGTCGGAGATTTCTGTCCGCTCTGTCTTGTTCTCGCTGTCTGGTTGATCCGGGTCTGCCTCAGAGCAGATACTCTCTGAAAGAGGAAGCGTCTCTCCAAGAAGCCTCTGAAGCCTCCAGGCGACCTGATCCCTACAAAATGTAGTTTCTTCCTTGCGCCTGAGGATTACGTCCAGACTTCTTCTGCTTTCCTTGTTATTAACAGAAACATCCCAGAAGGTCAGCATATTTTCTGGGGGAGAGAAGAAAACATTGCAACTACAAATTTCAATGTCATTCATTTACATTATGAGAGGAAGAACTAAGATTAGTGCATTATTGTGGAGTTGATGCAAAAATGATGTGTGATTTTTCTTTTTTTCAGAAATAAAAGCTGGGGCTTTTATCATAAAAAATGGTAAAGTTAGTCTAGAGGTGCAAAACTGGTAGAGACTTATACCAAGACTTGAAGTAGAAATACAGTAAAAATTGGTTCTGCAAGGTGAGCTGAGTTTGTTTTAAACAAAAGTGAATAAATAAATATTGATACTTGATGCTTCGACACCTAGTAATTCATTTCTGCATGCATATGTGCCTCCAACGAGACAAAAGGGCAAACGTTTTGAAAGAATGTTTTAATAAAAAAAATATCACCAGTGATTTTCTTTATCACTGCAATGCGCAATGAAATGCAAGTTTTATTAGTTTGAGTTTTCAGACACCCATCCCCCCTCAGAGCAGCTTATAAAAACCAAACATCCGTTGTCACTTGTGTGCAAAGAAAACTTTCACTTCTTTTCTGGCATACGTTACCATTTTTGCCAGTTTTTGATGTAGGAACCACATCACGTTTTGGTTTTGGAGACATAATCTGCAAAAAACAAAAATAAAAAAATAAAAAAGCAAGGATATTTTCTGAAATAACATTTAGTTAAAATATTATGGGAGAGAAAATGGACAAAAAAAAAGAGCATTATAGCAGACCTGGAGCTGATCAAGTTGTCGATCTATCGCATCCAGGAGGAGGTCACAGTGATCCGGACTGGGAACGCTGTCTTTTTGATCTGCATCGAAGAGGGGAAACAGAGGTTAAACGTAAGGAGCAAATTTACAACAGAGCGAGCAATAAGGAAAGCTTTAAAACTTCTGACCGGAGCAAAGAAGTTTGCTGGTCTCTTCTGTGTCTCTTCCCTCATCGTAATGGCCAGCCATGCCCTAAATCTGCAGAGAAACATTCAGCTGTTTTTCTCATACCAAATAGATTTCTGTCCCCAGTATGAACCGGCGTTTGAGCCATGACCGTCAGCCATGATTCATGTGAGAGTGAGGAATGTTGTTGCCCAGTTGACAAGGAAACCTGGTCAGCTTGTTGGGAAGCTCTTTCACCAAGGAGACAGCAGACTGTCTCAGTTTCTCCCTCACTGCTAAATGAGCTTTAAAGACAAAGGGCGTAATGCTTCATTTAAATGCCTTAATACAAGATTTTACATTGATTTGAAAACCTCTGTAGCTTCATGCTTAAAACAAAAACAAACTCAAACTTGTGATTTTTTTTTTTATCTACAGACAAACTTGATTTGGTGCCGACAAACTTATTAAACACCTATAAGCTCCCCTGGATGCTGTTGGAAATTGTTAAGTAGCAAAATGTGGATTGGTAAACGTCAGAGCTAAGGAAGGAAGAAAGAAAGAGAGAAAGAAAGAAAGAGAGAAAGAAAGAAAGAAAGAAAGAAAGAAAGAAAGAAAGAAAGAAAGAAAGAGAGAACTTACTATTTGTTGCCTTGTCGCTTACCTTTAAGCAGACAAAGTGAGTAAAGTTCCTGATCCCTAAAGAAAACCTGCTGCTGCTCAGGGAAATCTGGGAAAACTAGTTGCTATGGAAACACTTAAACAGCTCCCGCTTGCACATGTGCAGTGAGAGCTGAAAGAAAAAGGGGCACCAACATTAGTATCAGAGTTTCTGACTAGAATCCACAGGGGAAACTAATAATCCAGGACAGTTATTGGACTTTTAGGGACTTTCAGCTGTACATTTGATCCCCACAAAAAATATAATGTAAAAGGTTTGCTTGAATGGGGTAAAAAGCATAAAATGCTTATCATTGTTGGCTCTCACACAGTTGAACCAATGCACTGTTCCTCTGAATCAGAAAGCAAGCACCAAGTCAATTATTAAGAAAAATGTGTAAGGGAAAAGAAATGAAAATGAGACAAAATTTAAATTTCTCCTTCGTCTCTTTTCAGAGCCCACAATGGGAAAACGGTTCATATACATGTATATTGACTTTTGGAAGGTAAATCAACCGTTTTGTTGTTATAATCTGCTGAAAGTTTGACGCATCAGACTGTAATTTCTCCTGGCAGTGTTCCTCCTGCCGCCAGTTCACTAATATTCTTTGGGTTTCTGTGCCGTCATCACCGTTTTAAATCTTAGCAGAGACGTCTAACAAAATTTATGTCTGGGTCACTATGATGACTGCTGTAGTACAAAGGCTCTCATTCCTGCAACGGACTTCTTTAAGATATTCAGGCGAAGCTGATAACAGCTTCATGGCCAGGAGAGGGAAGTCTGGACTCGCTTTTCTGTTTTATATTGGTCTGGACATATTGGAAAGGTGCATTAAGCACATCATTTAAAAGGTTATTGTTATATGTCAGTCTTTTGTAGAAAAACATTATTTGTCTGACTAATTTTACACTTAAGGAAAATTACAGTTGCTGTTGGGCTTTAATTATTGTACAAATTCTGAGGAAACAACTTGAAAGCAAGCGGCATTTTTATGTGCCGATGCTTTCAGTCAAAAAAAGGCGAAATGAATCTTCAGCCGTCATACTTTTATTCTGCCACAGATCTGAGCAGCATCTAGTGAGGAGGAACCATCTTCATCTCTCACAAATTATCATGTTCACTATGGAAACGCAGCATGTTTTATTACCTTTGGCACCTTTGTGAAGAGATGAGGAATGAAAAACTGTGGAAGGAGTTTAAAGTTTTTCTAATTGTCTATTGTTTTTACTACTCAGAAACTTTGGTTTCTGGTTACAGCTGCTCAGTTTGATCACTTACAGTCATATTCAATAAATTAGAATATATGTCCCGATTAATCTCTTACAAGCAGGTATTAAAGACACTTTTCATTAAGCTTACATGTTTGTATTCTTTTTTTCTTACTGATCTGATGTAATATTCATAATTTTAAATGTCATGCAAGATGAAAGTTGTCAGAAATAAAGACTGGGAACCATCCATGTGAAATTAATCTATGAAATGAGATTCACTTAGTGATGAAGCTTATAAATAAATAGCTTTTTTTTATTTTAATCTATTGAATGGATCTGAACACTCACTGTGTTGTTTCTGGTGGTGCCAAGTACAACGCAGGCAACTTCACCATCAGCCACTGAAGTCGTGATATTTTGAAACTACTGATCCAAATAATCCCAAGCTGCACATGACAATTAACATGTATAATAACTCAAACATGTCAGGGAGCCATTTTCTACTGCACCGCTTGCTTTTGCTCCACAGAGTCAGGTGTGATTACTTGGGCCACATGTCCCTCTATGAATGATCTGTTCAGCTCACTTTCCTTTTGTTCAGAGAGTGAATCTCAGAATCAAAACACCTCAACACGTGTTGTCCATTTCTCTCATGCCTGCATTCATCCACTGCTGGTTTAAGACTTGCTTCATATTTTGGATTAACTCATCTAAATTCTCACTACTCTTCATTTTATGGTTTTGAGAGAGCCAAGACAATTTGGGGGATAAACTCTGCAGGGGATCCGGCCGCCTCCTCAGTCGGGTCAAATACCTGGATGCCATTTTGGGTTTATCCAGGGCTTCTGTTCCTGCTGTTGGCAGGCAGATTAGTAGAGGTCTGATTGTGTATTTCCATATGGCACCGGGTTTTCTTGTGGTCCCATGTTGGAGTCCATGGGAACCACTGCGGTCAGTCGGATCCAAAAGCTGCTTACGGGTAACCAACCTGCTGCCATGGCCTCTTTCTGCCTCTGGGTGGGAGGGAGGGCTGGTGGAGGCGTTGAAAGTCAGGTGGGTGTCGCCTTTCTTTGAAATCTTATGGTTTGGCCTCTGGAGTGTGTGTCATGTTCATATATGAACCATGTTCATACACATACAGTTCTGGAAAAAATAAGATCCCACTGCACTGAACCAGACTGAAAATCTCCTGGTTATTCCACCAAATATTGATTTCTGCTGAACTCTTCCTGAGTTAAAACATCAGTACTGTTGTTTCTAAATGAATATGAACTTGTTTTCTGTGCATTATTTGAGGTCTGAAAGCACTGCGTCATTTCTCATTTTCTGCAAATAAATGCTACATTTCTGCTTGTAATTTCTGAGACATGTCAGTAGTTCATAGGATAAATGAACAATGTTCATTTTACTCAAACATAAACCTATAAAAAGTAAAATCATAGAAACTGATCATTTTGCAGTGGTCTCTTTTTTTTCCCCCAGAGCTGTGTCCACAATTAAATTATGAGAGAATGATCATTGGAAGGACTTTGATTCATTATTGTCAAATCATGAAGCCATTATTAAATAAGCTCACAGAAGTCATTTTATGATCTTGTATTCTCAAACCAAAAATCTTCTTCAATCAATCCAGACAAATGGGAAGGATATTATTTTCTCCACATCATCACATCAGAGGAAAACATTTCTAACATGCGAGCCTTAAGGACTCTATCAAAAGCACATTTTATTGTGTTGACTGTTTTTTGGCCAAATTACACATTTCTCAAGGTTAACTCAGACAGAATCAGTTCAGGTTAGAAGTTAAAAGTGACAATAAATCCTTCAGGCTCTCTGTAATTTCTGTACAGATACTCCACACATAGTTTAGTAGAACTATTCATCATTTTTACAATATTATGACAAAATATTCACACAAATTGACTGGATGGTATAGGTACAATTACCTCCAGCCATGATTTCTACATTCCTAACAATAATTACAAAAAAATACTAACTCTGTTTTTTTTTTTTTTTAAAACTCTTGTCACCATAGACTCGTAGTGCACAGGTCAGGGGACTCGTTCCCTTATTCAGTCAGTTAAAGGCAAAAAGACTCTGTGTATCTTTGTGTGCCGATCCCAGATCAGCATGTTCGCGAACAGTGAAGGAGTTATGATTTGGTGTCGAAGCAGCAGCAGCAGCAGCAGCAGCAGCTGAGGCAGTCCTCTGTGGCTGCAGCCGACCGCACAGTGGAGTGCAACAGGAACCAGCCCCGTCTGCCTCTGCAACCATCTTTACCCGCCTGTCAGCTGAATCCCCCCCCGCAAAGTCGGTGGGATTCGAGTAAGAAACACCAACAAGTCGCAGGCTGAACGTTCGGTCAGTGATAAGGTGCAGATTTTTTTTGTACAATGACCAAAGGGTTACAGAGGGGGGTGGCTGTGTGTGAGCACCAGAAAACAAGGTAAAGGTAAAACATGCACAGAGGGGAGATTTCTAAACATCAATTCAGGCCATCTGCACTCACTCCGAGTCCAGCGGTTCGCAACCTTTTTGAGTTTCGACACCGCGGTCGACGCCTGCGATTGTTGGCACAAGTGAAAATGGTCAATGAGAAAAAAAATGCAAAAATGAAAAGGTTTTTGATTCGATGATCAGATAAACCCTCGAGTTGCACCCTCTGTTTAAATCTGACAATTAAAATCTATTCAGGAGGCTACAGGTTCATTCACAACTTCGTCAATTCAAATCTGCATGTTTACGTACACCTAGTCATGACATTCCTTCATAACTTGTAAAAAAATACACTCTAACCACTGCACAGCTTTCTATTTTTGTTTTGATTATTAGATATAATAATAAATTATGGAGATAGTTATAAAATGGTCAGCTCCCATGTATGACTGTATATGTACAGAGTTTGACATTAAACCCCTTTTCTATTCATATTGGTTTAACGTTGGCCTGATAAAACATGGTGGATTGGGACCTCTGGAGGCCTTGAACAATATATTATTTCTACAACAATATCTCGTAGAAGTAATATATTATTTCTACAATAAAGTCATGTCTGTTTATGACAGACATGACTTTAAAACATTTGTCATCAAAGCAGGTGTGAAACGCTCTCCAGGTGGGTAGAAACTGAAACATGTTTGGTGCAAAATATCCTTCAGCAGAATAAATTAAACCATAAAAGCTTCAAAGATAAGAATTGGCAAAGAGAAGAAGTGACTGGCCCTCATTTAGTGACATAACATCAGTTAAGGTGACTGCAAACAGTTTCAACTCTAATAAGTAAAAACATTTGATCTATTGTTTTCTACATTATTCTCCAGCTGCCACGGCTCTCAACTCACGAGTTGAGAAGCACAGCTCCGGTCAAGCACAGCGAAAAGTGCTTTCAAAGGTCTTAATGAAGAGTTCAGTAAATGTGAAATAAATGTTTTGATGTGGCATTAATGTAGAACGCACTGCGTGCCACCACTCCTATATAATTTAGCTAATCACAATCACAAATGGAAAAATATCTGAAGGATCTTTGGATGACGGATCAAAGAGGCAACTTTGATTTAAAATACTTCTATAAAGTATCCTTTAAATGTAATTTTTCTCTGACTACATGAAGGGTCTCCTAAAAACAAAAACTGCATCTCTATAGTCACGAGTTAAGAGAAACACCAACTTCCACTTCAAATAAAATAGCTTTCTGGCATGTGATATATCAAATTAATTAAATAAAAAATCTATTTGTATAAAATCTGACTAACTCACTACTTTCACTTAATTATTTACTTATTTAATATATTGTAGTAGAGTTTTTTTTGGCAGCCTGGCATTCATATTTTAAAAACTATTTACTTCAAAATTCAGTTTTCCTCTAATGATTTTCCTATAATTGCACTTGAGCTGTCTGATCTGCGTTTTAAACTCTGTTCAGTAGTTCAGTGTATAACATATAATTGGTCTTAGCAATATTTTTAAAACTTTTTTGTGCAAATCAACCTGATTGTAATCGTCTCCATGCAATCAGGGAGTTACTTTATGTTTTATAGTTAAC